CGTAAAATTTCAAAGGGCAGTTTGAGAAGACAGAGTCAAATATTATAATGAAATTTGCAAAGACCTGGAGATGAAAACCAAAAAGTAAGAACATGCTCAGTATTTCTTAAACTGAAAGAAATGAAGAAAAAATTCATTTCGATTTGCAATATTCAGGGAGTCTATGAAAAAATATTGAGTGATGCAAAAAATACCAAAAGAAGATGGGAAGGGATACAAAAAGTCACTCTAATCAAAAGAAATGATCAGTGTTCAACCATTTCAAGAGGTAGCATATGATCAGGAATCAGTGGTCCTAAAGGAAGATGTCCAAGGTGCATTGAAGGTATGGGCAATGAGCAAGGCACTGGAAATTCATGGACTACAGATTGAAATCTTTCAACAAACTTATGCAGCAACTGAAGGCACTCCCTTAGATATGCTAAGAAATTTCGAAGGCAGCTACCTGGCCAATTGATTAGAAGAGATCCATATTTATGCCCATTATAAAGATAGGTGACCCAACGAAATGCAGAAATCATCAGGCAATATGATTTATATCACATACAAGCAAAATTTTGCTAAAGATAACTTCATAAGCAACTGCAACAGTACACTGACAGGAAACTACCAGTGGTTCAAGCAGAATTCAGATGAAAATGTGTAATAAAGTCTATCATTGCTGATGTTAGATGGATCTTGACTGAAAGTAGAAAGATATTTACCTGTGCTTTATTGACTATGCAAAGGATTTCAATTATGTGGATTATGACAAGCTATAGACAACATTGTGGTCAATAAATTATGTTCATGAAGAAAATCTGCACCTAGACTAAGAGGCAATCATTCAAACAGAACAAGGGGACACTGAATAGTTTATAATTAGGAAAGGAGTGTGCCGTTGTATTCTTTCACCGTATTTATTCAATCGGTATGCTGCGTAAATATTGCAAGAAGTTGGATTATATGAAGAAGATCGTGGCATCAGAATTTGAGGAAGACTCATTAACAACGTGTGCAATATGCAGATGATACAACCTTACTTGCTGAACGGGAAGAAGAATTAAAATACTGATGAAGATCGAAGACTCCAGCCTTCAGTGTGGGTTACACCTCAATGTGAAGAAAACAAACATCCTCTCCATTGGATCAATAAATAACATCATGATAAATGGAGAAAAGATTGAAGTTGTCAAAGACTCTAAATTTTGCTTGGATCCACTATCAACACTCATGGAATCAGCAGTCAGAATTCAAACAACATACTGCATTAGACAAATCTGCTGCATAAGACCGCTCTTTAAAATGTTGACGAGCAAAGATGTCAGTTTGAGGGCTAAAGTGCACCATGTAATTTTCAACAGCCTCATATGCATGTGAAAGTTGGACAATGATCAGTAGAGGCCGTAGAAGAATGGATGTCTTTGACGTATGGTGTTGAAGAAAAATATTAAAAGTACCATGGACTGCCAGAAGAGCAAACAAATCTGTGTTAGAAGTACAGCCAGAATGCTCTGTGGCCAGACTTCGTCTCTCATATATCAGACATATCATCAGGAGGAGCCAGTCCCTTGGAGAAGGACACTATGCTTGGTAAAGTGGAGGGTCAGCAAAAAAGAGGAGGATCTCTAGCAAGATGGACTGGCACAGTGGCAGTAGCAGTGGGCTTAAGTATAACAATTATGAGGATGGCCCATAACTGGGCAGTGTTTCTGTTGTGCATAAGGTCACTATGAGTTGGAACCAATTCGAGGCACCTAACAATAACAATGAAATGAGCCTTAACAAGGAAAGGCGTTAATATTTTTCTTTGCTGGTAGCCAGTTCAACCATTATTGGGTATGTTGTTTTTATTTGTAGTCATTTTTTTGTTGTTGGTATTAAGTGCCGTTGAGTCAGCTCTGACTCATAGCGACCCTGTATAGGGTTTCCAAGGAGTGGCTGGTGAGTTTGAACTGCTGACTTTGCAGTTAAGCCCAGCCTTGTGGTCTGGTGCTTATTCACAGCACCACACCAAGACTCCTGAAATGCAATTTGCTGAATTTCTGACATCATTTTGAGATGTTCTCATCTTTTTTTTTTTTTTTTGATCATCAGCATCTTAGTTTGCCCTCGTTTGTTTGTCAGTTATCTATTATTAGCACTAAGTGTCTCTGCCCCCAGTCATCGGGGTGAGCAAATCATGGTGTTAGGAGAAGGGGGTGAGAAGGAAAGATATGGAGAGATAGGAAAAGAAACAGTGATTATGGAATAAGAAAATTGTTAATGAGGTGATCTTAAACTTCAGTATGCCTAATACCCACCAGAGAATCTGCTGAAATGCCTTCTATGCCTATACCACTTTGTTTAAAGTGATAAGGATACGAGTATTTTAACTGCTGATGACAGTGCCAACAATGAAAATGGTACTTCACTGAATATCTTCTCTGGCAAATTAAACTAGCTAAACCATTAGACTGAGCACAAAGTAAAGTTTTTTCTTAATATTAATATTCCTACCCTTCAGATTACTGGTTTTCTTATATTAAACATAGCCACTCACACTGAATTTTATTTTAAGGACAATTATTTTTAAATATTTAAGTTTATATATTCTAGTTGGCTGCTTATTTTAAAGGAAAATGCAAGAGTTTTCAAAGGGCTGGTTTTAGGACCAGCTGCTCCTTGGAAACCCTGTGCAGGTCATGATGAGTCAGAATCGACTTGATGGGCACTTAACAACAAATCAGTGCTGAGCAAGTGACTTGTGATGATGGGATGGGGTTTTTTTTCATGGGAAACTCACTGTTATGACAATAATTTAGCTGGAATTAAGCTAAGATACGATTTATTTAGAGTCCTGATGTGCTACTGTAGGATCAGAAGTTGACCTCAAGGTTGGTTTGAACCATAAGGTCTGTGGTTCAAACTCTCCAGCCACTCCCTGGGAGCCCTATACAAGGTCACTATGAGTCAGAACCGACTCGATGGCGCTTGACAACAGCAACAACAACAATTCATATGGTCCTTTTGTAATTAGTTGCCCATTCCCAGTCATTTGTCAGACTTGTTTCTCCCTACTTGTGTCCAATTCTGTATTGTGTACAGTTCAGTAACATGAAGAGTCAGTTTAGAATCTTGTTTATATAAAGGGAAAGGAAAGGAGCAGACTAGAAAAACATACTCTAAGAACTAGCGAGGCTTGCATTGCTGTGTGCTGTCGAGTCAGTTCTGACTCATTTGTTGTTGTTGTTGTGTGCCATGGAGTCAGTTCCGACTCATAGCGACCCTGTACAGGGTTTCCGAGGCTGTAAGTCTTTACAGGAACAGAAAGCTTCATCTTTATCCCGCAGAACAGCTGGTAGTTTCGAACTGCTGACCTTGCGGTTTGCAGCCTGATTCATAACCTGACTCATGTTGTTGTTGTTGTTGTTGTTGTTGCAGCCCGATTAATAACCACTACGCTACCAGTGCTCCTTTGTTGTTGTTGTTGTTAAGTGCCGTTGAGTCGGTTTCGACCCATAGCGACCCTGAACAGGGTTTCCGAGGCTGTAAATCTTTACGGGAGCAGATCGCCTCATCTTTCTCCCGCGGAACGGCTGGTAGTTTCGAACTGCTGACCTTGCGGTTCGCAGCCCGATTCCTAACCACTACGCTACCAGAGCTCCTTACCAGCGCTCCTTAGCAACCCTATATTGGGTTTCTGTGGCACTACTGGTGAGCCTGAACTATAGAACAGACAGAAGCTCAAATGTTTTTTTTGAAAAACCCCAGGCTTACTGGACTGGATCATGCTGAAGGGCTCCCCAAGACTAGTGCCCTGAGAGGTTATTTAAGCTTTCTCCTCAGGTCACCTTTTTGCTAAATAACAGACTAGATCACAAAATAAATACTATTACTCATGAGTACTATGATCCTTTAAAAAATCATCTAAATGACACCAGACAGTCAACAATTACCTTAAAACAAAGGTAAGAAGGTGACAGGGCAGGGAAACCAGAGTGGAATTAATGAGAACATTCTTATATTGTAAAGAATGGGACCAATGTCACTGAGCAATTTATGTAGAAATTTTTGAATGGGAACCTAAACTACTATGTAAACCTTCATCAAAAACACAGTAAAGTAACATTTTGATTTTTTAAAAAATAACTTTTTAGAAATATGTACATGGTCGATGGCAATTCAAACTTTTATTGGCAGTTCAGAAGCAGTAAGCCTGGACCAGGAGTGACGGACTATATTTTTATGCAAATAACCCATGTGTTACATGATTTTTGCCAACCATACCTCACCTCCCTCCCCCAAGTTATTTTTGTAAGTAAACTATGCTTATTTTTTCGTGTGTTGCTGTTTAAAAAAAAAAAAAAGCAAAATTGTGCTTACTTGAAAAATAACTTGGGAGGAGGTCAAGATAGGCAAAAAATCAAACAAACCAATAATGTGTGGGCTATTCGCATAATGATATGTATTCCATCCACTTTTTTTCTGTGCCTGATAGCATGATAACCAGATTTCCTACAGCAGAAATTAGGACCCTAAGTCATTCAAGAGAATGATTACTAGGGTCTCTCCTGGAAGATATGGTAAGTATGGCCCCACACCCACTGTGCCTTTTCATGGAGCTGCCGTCACATTGTGGTTGTTGGTATTAGGTGCCTTTGAGTTGGTCCCTGACACATGGCAATGCCATACACAACAAAATCAAAAACTACCAGGTTCTGGGTCATCCTGTGATTGGTTGTGGATAAAGCTGCTGTGATCCTTTGGGTTCTCATTGCCTGATTTTCAGTAGATTTCCAGGTCTTCCTTGCTCCTCAGTCTGGCCTAGAAACTTGGCTGAAGGTTGTGTAGTATCACTGAAAAATGGTGGTGTTTGCATATGAGCACTGACTGGGAATTGAACCTGGGTCTCCTGCATTGAAAGGCCAGAATTCTGCCACTGGTGACCTCACCAGTGCCTCATGCCATCACATGATCAGGCCTTTAAATTCAGTGGGGACAAATGTACACTGATGCTTCATTTCTTTTTCCCTTTTCAGGCTTCTGGCTGTGATGGATCAGAGATTCCTGATGAAGTGAAACTGATCGGGTTTGCTCAGCTGAGTGTCAGCTGATGTATGTCCCTTGATGTCAGCCTTATCTGTCATGCCTCTCCTCACCACGAGCCCCTCAACCTTCCCTCTCCCTGCCCAACACCTCCTACCCCTTCACTCCCACTTCCCAGGAAAATCAGAAGATTGTGAAGAGGCCGGCTTAGACGAAAATGGGATAAAAAAAATTTTTTTTTTTTTAAACTTTCAACACTCTGAGTTCTGCTTTATTCTGTAGCAATCCACAGTACGAGAACAAGCAAATTCCACAGCTGCACGACTGTTGCTAATTTTTCCAAAAGCTATTTAACATTCTTAGCAATCAATCTGGATATCCCTTAGGTGAAAAGAATTTGAAATACACTCAGGTGGTCCTATTTATTGGCAACAAAAAGAATTTTCTATCTGAAGCCTATTTCTTCTTGCATTGTTATTCTTTCTGTTTTAATACTTTGTCTATCTGGCAAGACTGCCTCTTTTATGTTGTATTTAGAAATTAATATACTTATAAAATTAAGATTTATTAGCCAGACTTGAATTCTAGTTTTAAAACTGACTGTGAATTTTATTTTTCATAGATTTATGCATTACACACCTTAGCGATAAGGAAAAGAAAAGGTTTTGATTATATATGCTTCTTGCAGTTAATCTCTTATTTAAAAAGAAAAAAAAAGGTGTTTCAGGTATATCTCTTTGGAGCATTTGTAACTTCTAATTTTTGAAATGATGGAATTAGGCACTAGAATGCTTTACTCTTTTGGTTTGGTTGCCTGAAAACCAATTCACAATCTGATTGTCTCTTGGGAGTGGGAGGTGCCTGGCAGACTCTCATATGGAAAATATGCCTGAGGCTGCTTTACTCTGGAATAATCTCAGATCTAAGATTTCCTCTACATAAGGTGGCATCTGTAAGTTTTGCTTCGTTTGGAGTTTAGAATGCTGTATAAAGTGTTGCCACTCTGTTAGATTGCTAACTATATACCCATCTCTGATTTGGCCTCACCTTAAGTGATACGATTTGTTGTTCTAAAAGCGCTAAACTTGAAAATACTATAATCGACAGTTTTACTTGAATTTCTGCAGAATACCCAGATGGAATGAAAATAATAGAAAGGGTTTTGTGCAATGACTAAAAAGTAAAACACTGTTAAGTTTCAAGGATAAATACTTTTCAACCCAAGTGGCCCTCTGCTTGACTCTATTATGGAATTCGTAAACCTTAGGAATTTGAAAATTGGAGTCTAAACTTTCAAGGAGGTGAGCTCCCGGGATGGTACCACTGCTCTTTCCTAGCTAACCCTAGATACGGCAGCTCTTTAATGTACTTTAAAAAGCAGATATATATTACTAAGAAAAAAAGTTATTTATAATTGCCTTGTCATAATTGTTAAGGTGTTCTAGAGCCATTTGCATACAATTTAATGTAATTTCATTCCATTCTATTGTTTACACAATGATTACTCAAAGATGACTGCAAAGGTAAAAGGAAAATAAAAGTGTATTGCACAAAGAGATGGTGGTGTATTGTTTCATTCCACTGTTAGGCATTATGTTTAGCATTTTCCGGAAATGCACAGAATTAAGTAAAGAGTAGAAGGTGCTCTACAGGCCTCCATCCAGTCACAGAGGACTGGGTTTGGCAAATCTCTTGAATTAGCTTAAGGAGAGAATGAAAGGCAAACATTCACACTCCATGTAGTTAGACAGTCTTTGAGTTAAGACCACAAGACTGCTGGGAAAAGAGGAAATATTTTTTTCATTCTCTTTTCTTTAGTGTGGTGAACACTAAGGCTGCACCTATAGCTAAGAGCCATGTGCAAGGCCCCTCTTTGAGCTCACTGCAGAGCTGGACAATCAGGGCCCTGGTTTCCTGGCATCATGAGCATGTTCTTAACACTCTTGTGGACAAATGCAATATGAAAGAAGACCATCTTCAACTAAAAACGATAAAGCATACATGAAGAACTTTTTGTTGTTGTTGTTGGGTGCCATCGAGTTGGTTCCGACTCATAGTCACCCTCTACACAACAGAACGAAACACTGCCCGCTCCTGCACCAACCTCACAATGATTTCTGCGCCTGAGCCCATCACTGCTGACACTGTGCCAGTCCATCTCGGTGGGGGTCTTAGTCTTTTTCTCTGACCCTCCACTTTACCAAACGCTTTATCTCTTTTTCTTTGACCTCCTCAGGACTGGTCCCTTCTGATGGTATGTCCAAAGTGTAAGAGACAAAGCCTGGCCATCCTGACTCCCAAGGGGCACTCTGGCTGCACTTCTTCCAACACTGTTATTTTGATAGTCTGTGGAACTTTTAATTTTCACCTCCAACACTATAACTCAAATGCATCAATTCTTCTACAGTCTTCCTTATTCACTGTCCAACTTTCACATGCATATGAGGTTATTGAAAATACCATGGTTTCTACCTTCATCTTCAAACTGACATCTTTGCTCTTCAACACTTTAAAAAGGTCTTGTGCAGCAGATTTGCCTAATGCAATAATATATTGTCTGATTTCTTGACTGCTGCTTCCATGAGTGTTGACGGTTGATCCAAGGAAAATGAAGTCTTTGACTTCAGTCTTTTCTCCATTTATATTTATATTTGTTTTGCAATGTGGTAGTAAATGTTATTTAATATCTGTATTTATTTATACCCATAAGCCAGTATCCTTCCAAATGGAGTCTTGGTGTGGCATTGTAGGATATGCACTGGACTGAAAGGTTGGTTTAAACTGAGAGGTTAGCGGCTCAAACGCACCGGCCACTCCTCAGAAACCCTATCCAGGGTCAGTGTGAGTCAGAACCAACTTGACAGCACTTAACAACAACAACCAAATTTTTGAATAGGATGGCTTGTAACAGTACAATATTGTGATTCTGCTCAGTGGCAAGGACATGCATTCATATAATGAGATACAGGCTTGTTTGTTTTTAATACACAAAGAAATTAGAATGACGTAAAAATAGGATAGTTTAACAATATAAATTCTTGTTAGGAACCGTCGAATTGGTTCCAACTCACAGCTACACCGTACAGGGTTTCCGAGGAGCAGCTGGTGAGCTTGAACCACTGACCTTGAGGTTCAAGCCAACCTTGCTTCCCAATGTGTTAACCTGCAGCACCACAAAGTAGGTAATATGTAAAAATCCACACCTCACCAAGAGGTTCTGCTAGTTGCTAGGACAGTGTATAGTTTAGTTATTCACTAGGACTGAAGAGGAAAGTGTGATCAAATACAACCTTTTCTATGTCTATAACATAGAAATCAAATTGACTACATCTGTGGAAAGAGACGATGGAAAAGCTCCATATCATCAGTCAAAACAAGGCCAGGGGCAGACTGTGGAACAGACCATCAATTACTCATATGCAAAGTCAAACTGAAGTTGAAGAAAATGAAAACAAGTCCACGAGAGCCAAAATACAACCTTGAATATATCCCACCTGAATTTAGAGATCATCTGAAGCACAGATTTGATGCATTAAACACTAAAGGCCAAACCAGAAGAGTTGTGGGATGACATCAAGAACATCATACGTGAAGAGAGCAAAAAGTCATTAAGAAGACAAGAAAGAAAGAAAAGGTCAAAATGGATGTCAGAAGAGACTCTGAAACTTGCTTTCCAGTGTAGAGATGCTAGAGCAAATGGAAGAAATGAGGAGGTCCAAGAGCTGAACAGAAAATTTCAGAGATCAGCTCAAGAAGATAAAGCCAAATATTACAACAAAATGTGCAAAGATCTGGAATCAGAAAACCAAAAAGGAAGAACACACTCAGCATTTCTCAAGCTGGGGGAACTGAAGAAAAAATTCAAGCCTCGACTTTCATTATTGAAAGATTCTTTGGGCAAATTATTGAATGATGCAGAAAGCATCAAGAGAAGATGGAAGGAATACACAGAGACACTGTAAAAAAAATGAAATGGTTAATGTTCAACCGTTTCAAGAGGTAGCATATGATCAAAAGCCAATGATACTGAAGGAAGAAGTCCAAGGTGCATTGAAGGAATTGACAAAGAACAAGGCACCAGGAATTGATGGAATAAAAATTGAAGTCTTTCAAGAAAGTGAGGCAGCACAGAAGGCACTCACTCATCTCTGCCAAGAAATTTGGAAGACCCAAGGGAATGCGGAAATCATCGGACAATCTCTTTGATATCTTAACGTTTTGCTAAAGGTAATACAGAAACAGCTATTGACAGAGAACTTCCAGAGGTTCAAGCTAGATTCAGAAGAGGCCGTGGAATGAGGGATATCATTGCTGATGTCCAGTGGATCTTGGCTGAAAGCAGAGCATATCAGAAAGCTGTTTACCTGTGCTTTATTGACTACACAAAGGCTTTCAATTGTGTGGATCATGACAAGCTATGGACAACATTGTGAAGTATGAGTATTCCAGGACACTTAATTGTGCTCATGAGGAATCTGTACCTGGACCGAGAAGCAGTTGTTCGAACAGAACATGGGAACACTGAATGGTTTAAAATTTAAAAAGGTGTGCAACAAGGTTGTATTCTTTTCACCATATTTATTCATCCTGTATGCTGAGCAAATAATCCAAGAAACTGGGTTATGTGAGGAAAAACGTGGCATCAGGATTTAAGGAAGACTAATAAACCTGCGATATGCAGATAATACAACCTTGCTTGCTGAAAGTGAAGAGGACTTAATATATTTACTGATGAAGATCCAACAGCACAGCCTTAGGTATGGATTACATCTCAATGTAAAGAAAACAAAAATCCTCACTGCTGAACCAATAAATAACATTCTTATTAATGGAGAAAAGGTTGAAGTTGTCAAGGACTTCATGCTTCTTGGACTATCAACAACTATCAACACTAATGGAAGCAGCAGTCAAGAGATCAGACGACGTATTGCATTGGGCAAATCTGCTGCACAGGAACTTTTTGAAGTGTTGAAGAGCAAAGATGTCAGCTTGAGGACTAAGGTGCTCCTGATCCAAGCCATGGTATTTTCAATAACCTCATATGCATGTGAGAGCTGGACAGTAAATAAGAAAGACCTTAGAAGAATTGATGCTTTTGAGTTATGGTGTTGGAGGAGAATATTGAAAGTGCCATGGGCTGCCAAAAGAACCAACAGATCTGTGTTGGAAGAAGTGCAGTCAGAGTGCTCCTTGGAGGCCAGGATGGCCAAACTTAGTCTCTCATACTTCAGACATATTGTCAGGAAGGACCAGTCACTGGAGAAGGATATCATGTTTGGTAAGGTGGAGGGTCAGAGAAAAAGAGGAAGACCCCCAATGAGATGGATTGGCCAAGTGGCAGTATCGATAGACTCAAGTGTGGCAACAATAGTGAGGTTGGCCCAGGAAGTGTTTCGTTCTGCTGTGCATAGGTCTCTATGAGTCGGTACCGACTCGATAACACCCAAAAACAACAATATTCTCTCTTCTTTAAGTTAGGAGAAGCACTTTTTCCTAGCATTGAAGCCTAAATAAAATTCTTCTAGGAGTCATCATAAAGTCATCAGAAACATACTAAAAAGCTTTTAACATTC